CCCCCCCCCGTCCCCCCCCCCCCCCCCCGGAGGCTACGGCCCTGCCTATGTAGGCTCCTAAAGAAAGGGATAGTTTAAATGAGGGCGTCTCGATAGCCCGAAGGTTCATTGGTCCGAAAAATGGTAACATTTTCATCCGTTTTTTAATCAAGGGTTCATTGGTCCGAAGGTTTTATAGTGAAAATTCGGACCAATGAACCTTCGGACTATTGCTACGGCCCCGTTTTAAGACGTTTTTCATTTACTTAATTAGCCATGAGAGATGAAGATGATGTTCAAATTGTTCATGAGTTGGTTATCTTTATTTTCTTACTTCCATTCTTTTTTTCCTCTCAATGAAAATAGCCACTTGGCAATCTGCAGACTAACTGGTAACGGGTCATATCTTAAAAGGTGGTTTGTCCGTAACTGAATAGTCGCGATGAGATGGCAAAACAGTTGAAGATTTCACAAGGGCACGTATCCTATATTACAATAGTCGTTTATATTATTCAGCAAAGTGCGTGTAACACCCTCAAGCAGATCTGAAGATTGGTGTTCTTGCATGTTCATCTCTCATCTGGTATTATATATACCCGTAACGACATTCAAGTATTGCGCGAAACCGTAGCATGAGAAAGCCGTTTAATATATTATTTGATCTATTCTTTTATCTTTCTACAGGAAACACGCAAAGCATGCAATTTCAAAGTGCAGAAGATTTTCAATTTTTTCCTCGCCATTGGAAGAAGAGGACCGACTCAGATGTCAGGAACTCTTTTACTTTGGTAACCTATAATATACTAGCTGACGTAGCAATGGAGCCTATTAAAGGCTACGACAAATACGTTCCAATAGAGAGACGATACATGGACTATCGCCTACCGCGAATTTTGAAAGAACTGAAGGAAATGGACGCGGACGTGGTCTGTCTGCAAGAAGTACAAGCATACATTTACACAAATCATCTTCAGTCTTTCATGAAAACGAATGGATACGAAGGAGTATTTCTACAGCGCCAGGACGACTTAGGGGAAGCCACGTTCTTTAAATCCTCAAAGTTTGAATGTGTTGATTCCCGGTGTTGTGTACTTCATGAAATAGCAGATGACATATTGCAGGTATGCCGTCATCGCCCTGGGCTCCGTATCTCGAAAGGTTCGCTATGTTGCACACGTGCGTTAGTGTCTCGATTCCATAACCGATTCTATTTCGAGATATGGGCCCATGGAATCGAGACACTTGCTCACGTGCGCAACATAGCGAACCTTTTGAGATACGGAGCCCAGGTCATTACTATGTCTAACTTTTCCTGTTACCGCCTAGTAAGATTTTTTATATACACGATACCAGTATTATAAACCAGCTTGATCTTTGAGATTATTGTAATTTCTATAGGTTTTCACACTCAAATTCTTTTAGTATTTCTGGTCAGCACTTGTTTACAATGTCTTTCTCCCATCTTGGTCCAAATGCATCAACAGACTCTTGGCAGTTTATCACTGCTCATACAAAGTAATGTTATCCATTACTTAATGCATTAGTTATCCTGCCGTGCGGAACTGTGTTTGTATTTTGAAACTACACGCTAACTTGACGCCATCAAAGTACCATTTCTCATTGCATCTTCGCGCTCCACCATCCGTTGTATGAGCAGTGTATATTGTCGGAATCTTAATGGATTCATTATAGAACATGGCCAGGTCCATTGTTTATGGCCTCTTTTCGTGGATTTTAATCTTGTTGCTTTGTCTGTATTTCTATTCAAATAGTCGCATTAAGATTTTATTTAGATGAACAGATTTAATTTAATGGAGGTATTGCTATTTAGAAAGTAGAAATGGACAAGGAGCTCAGGGACCGTATCAGAAGACACATTTGCAAACCGAATGCCATTTTGATAACCAAATTGAAGCTGCTTGACAACAAGAAAGAAGTCGCCATAGGAAACGTCCATGCTTTGTGGTCTACGACTCAACTTGACGTTGTTTTATTACAGGTAGTTCTATGTCATTGATATGTATTGTTTTTCGTTTGTTAGAAGTTACGTGAAATCGTTCTTGGAGTCGACTTCATATTTCTCCCAAAACTTGTCGGAACAATGTCCGAACAGTCGGAAAGTGTTTCCACCCTGAAAGTAATCAGCGTGACGTCTGTCCAATGTAGAATTTTTCCAGTTTTTTCTTTTATGAAGAGTCAGACTCCTGTTCTAATACACTTTTCATTTATCCTACATTCGCTGTCTTTCTGAATGAATTTACATTAAAAAATACCGATCACTTTTTCAGGTAGCTTGCGCCGTCAAAACTCTTTCATCGTTTGCTGGTGGACCAGAGAAATCTCAAATTTTAACTGGGGACTTCAACAGTACTCCTGATTCCGCGGTTTACCATTTGCTTAGCGGGGGGGAAATTGACAAGACATGGAGAGAACAACTGCAAAAGCATAGCGAAAAAATCTCTGCGAGAAATGGTGGGCAAGTGAGTTTGACATACGGGCATTATCGGCAATAAAACTGCCGTTCTCTAGATTTTTTTAATTGCCATGAATGATTTAGTGTTCCACAATGAAGAAGGGAATAGAAGACGGAATTTCGGAGGGATATGCAGAAAAAAAACTTTTTTTCTGTGTTTTCATTTTTTCTCCTGCGTCTATCGTCCATATAAAGATCAATGTCAAGTATGATAACTTTGAAGATAATGTACATGTATGTCTACATGTAACACACCTTTTACTATGTTGTACTGGAAACCTAGAGACAAATGATAGGACAGAAGTAAAATCTATGCCAATGACAATGATTCTCTCTGCAATTCAGGCTCAAGATCTGTATTTAATGGACCTAATAGAAAATGCCCTGGGCCATGAAGTTCCCCTAAAGAGTGCTTATGCCTTTGTTCTGGTGAGTAACGACAGACGCTTTTATTCAGAGAATCAAGGAAATATATTTTACCAATTCTTTTTTCTTTCAAAATTGCGAGGCATTCTGTGCAAGTGATTTGTTAAGAAATTTCATTAAAAACTGAGCTTTTCTAAAGTGTGACTACACGCGACATTTTGCGTATCTTAAAAACAATGTGTATGATATGAAAACGTGAACCATTGCAATTATTATTATTATTATTTATTGTTTTTATTTTAAAGTTGTTTTCATTTTTATGATGTTCACAATTCAGGGTAAGGAGCCCCCAATCACCAATCATGATGGTGCATATTTTGACGAGGTTCTGAAAGTTTGCTTCGACTACATCTGGTTTCACAGTGATCGCATTGACGTCACTGGAGTTCTGGACATGCCACCAGAGGACGCCCTGTCAAGACACTACTCACTGCCTAGCCCGCTGTTCCCGTCAGATCATCTTCCTGTAAAAGCAGAGTTGTTATTGAAATAGTTCAACTTAATTGTGCACTAACTGATGAATCACCAAATGGAAACCAAAAGAGACACCGTTTTTGGTTGCTGCAAAAAGGGAGACAATCGACGGGAAAATGACTGCACATATTTAAGTTTTGAAATAATAAGTGTTCAAGATAAAAGAATGTTTGCACAGTGTATATATCAGGTATATTCGCACAATAATTGCGCAACTATTTAAATTCAACAGTTTTATTATTCGAACATGAACATGAATTATGCTGTAATATTATTTTGAAATAATGGTCACAGACTGTTGCGAACTGTACTAATTACCCGAAAGCAGGCGAGCCGCTTTGACAATTGATATTTTTCTTATTCGCTAGATGTGTGTGTAAAGGGCATACGACTGCGTCCATTTTTCATCAACATCTGAAGTGTAAAGCATTTGTTCATACTGAAGAATAATCAATGCACTATTTTAGAAATGCCTTTGACTTTATGGCAATCCGGAAAATAATGTAACAAATGCTCGGCTATAAACCACTGTATTAAATCAATTTAACCCTTATACCTTTTTTATATTTTATTTACCCACAAGTCAATATAAATGAGTTCATTACCTGTAAATATCGTGGAAACATGATATTTGTTCAGGCTAGCTGCAAAACGACTTGAAAAGGGTATGCACTGTTAATTTTCTGGAGAGCTATAGATAGGGGTTGAAGGTCTCTCTAAATGAAAAAATCTACCTGGATTTTGGACAGGTTTCGTGATAGCAATTAGCAAAAATCGATAAAAACTAGGTTTCGAGCTTTTTTGCTTTGTGACCTTGTAGCGCTTAAACGACTATAATGTAAAATAAGTAATCAAAGTTAATTGAAACCAATTTTGCTTAATTTAGGAATATTATTCTGTCTGTATTCTTTTTATGAAGAACATTTATAGTTTTTCATTGGAGGCAGTGATACAGTATTATTGACTAAAGACTGTTTTGGTCCCTTATGTCAGTATTTGTGGTAGCTAAGGTGGTAAGGCGGAATTCACCATTTGTATCAATTCATGCGTGCGATTCTGTTTACATTAATTGCTCTTATCAAAATAAACGAGAACAGGTCTGCATGTTGTTAATGAGGAATATTGTCATCAGTGTTTGCTGAAGTATATGCTCAACCTACGTAACACTGATTAATGCTGTCTCGTTATGTCAGATGAAGAGAACGCGAGGCGAGAGAAAAGTCTAATGCCTTTCGATTTAACCAAACGCGAAGTTGCGGTGCCATCATTTGAATAGAACCTGCCACCAATCAATCGAACTTATAGGTTTAATGGTGAACTGAGTATGCTATCCGGCCGATAAGGTGAATTCTTCTAAGTCTTCCGTTTTAAGTCTGACTGGGATCGTAAAAATGTCGGAAGAAGTGGACTTACTTAATGACAGATGGGATGCGGAGGGAAGTGCTTCCAGATACTGTACGAAAAACAATTTTGAATCCCACCAGGGAGAGCAGGACGGCCAGCAGCATCATGACAACCACGAGCAAAAATACCCAATAAGTGACGGAAATGATAATATTATGGTTTCTTCCTATTCTGATCAGCCGTCTGATGACACCAAAGCGCCAGACGACCATGGAGAAACAAACCCCAATGTGGTAAGATTAATATAGGTATATGTATTAATTTTCGTTATAGCCATTATATTAGATGTAGCTCTGATGATTAGATACAATGTCTCATATAACGTTAAGTAGCATGTTTAGACATAGGTGTCATTTGATATATATCCTGTGTCGTAGGTGGACAGAGTTGAAAGATGAAGAAGAAAAGACGTACTGCACTAAAATAACGTAAACTAAAATACCTAGACTATACTACGACGTTTGATGTTTTTTCTTTTGATAATGTGAAAAAAAAAAAAACATTGAACATCTAAAGTATCAAGATTTTGAAGGATTAATTCATTTTTAAATAACTGATTTGTAACAACAAAATCTTTGACACGAGAGACACGCAAGAAACATTTGGTAAAATATATCAGCAACACGAACATGAAGAAGTTTCCACTGCAGCAGCCAGTATGGTCTGAATTCTTGTAAAAACATTTTGACGCTTTTACAATAGCAAGCTCATTGCACAGCCTGTAGCGCATTGTGTTAGTGTAAACACATTAGTTTGGCGCATACTTAACCTCTATTCAGTAGAAATGGCCATTAGCAAGAAGGTGTGTATAGTGGACACGACAGATTGGAGTATATTCGGTTCTTTTAATACGATACAGAACGAGTTTTCTTTGTTTCGTAGACTAAATAGAATAATAAGCATCCAGTGGCTTTCTTGTTTGCTTCCTTCCTATGACGTAGAATAGGGGCGCTGACACATTGTAAAAATGACCCCTGTTTAGAAACATGAAATACACTATTAATTAGATACGGCCACTTACAACTATTTTGGGTCATCCAAAGCTCCTGGGTGCCATATTAATAATTCAGATTATAATTCAAAGCAAGCGCCAGTCAATCTTAGCAGACCTGGTGCAGACACAGTTATCTATTAAGACCTACTGTAAAGTAAATGTCTGAATGTGAATAATTTATAAGTTTTTTGTATAAGTTGAAAGCGTTTTCGTCAATTTATGGTTAAGTTTTTGTTCATGAAATTAGAGGATGTTTACGTTGTGAAATAGACATTAATGTGGTCGTCATAATATTATATCCAAACCCAGCCATGATTTAAACGGTCAATGACGCCAGTCAATTTGCAAGTTGAATTATCAGGTCCGTGCTACAGTAAAAAAGAAGAAAAAAAAGAAACCAATGTAAAGATTGATCGACCCCACCAGATTTACGCCAGCTCACGCTCGCCTCACCAGTATTTTTACTATATTATTTAAACCGTAGGTCTGAAATATTTTTGTGATGTTAAGTCAATGTTGTCAATATTTGTAAGTCAATGTTTTTTATGACGCCACAACATATAATCATACTTACTCCACAAAGTTCAAGGTCACAATGCAACGTCACAATACCCGAGCTTATACAACGTAAAGCCACAACCAAATATCAATTGTTACGCCACATCACCATGGTAACGTTTTTAATGTCAATAGCAATCTCTGACATTTAGGAGGTTCGATCGTTTCTTTCAGTTTCAGACAGAAATTCCAAATGACGTTTCTCGCCCATCTTCTGTGATTTCTACCGTGAATGCTGCTAATATGACTACCTCCAAGCCTGCACTGATGCCTATTAGCAGAGAATCAGTGAAGATAGAAGAATTTGGTGATGGCCAAGCAAAGGAAGAACTGACACAAAGCTCTGAGTCTTTCAAAGAGCAACTAACGTAAGACATACCTGAGTCAAAGCATTTAGGTTATTTTTCGTTCATTTGTGAATGTCAAATATTATATTTGGTATTATCTTTAATTTTTCACATTCATCGTGAATTGTTGGTGCAAAATGTAATATTTTCAGGCACTGTTGTATGCTGTGGCCGAGTACGAAAACTGAGTAGGAACATATTATTTTAAACGCGCTTAATTAAATGTCTCATTGAAGTAATTATTTGTATAACCCACTGATAAATTCAGTTCGGCACCACTCCCCTCTTGTAAGCAAATATAAAACAAAACATAATTGACTAATAGATCACGGGATATGACTGCAAGCAAACATCGATGTTTATTTATGTCACGTAAATCCATCTAATTTTTTCAGATCATTTTGTCTTGTTTAGAATTCGAATTTGAAAATGGATCAGAAAAATGTACAAATAACAATGTAATAGGCCCGACGATCTGTTTTTTTTCTCACTCTTACTCAAGGGCAAAAAAAAAAAATAATAATAATAATAATTCTAGAAATATTTCAATTTATAAACTAAATGGTGATAATAATATGATCGGCCTTTTTGTTTCTGTAAAAATGATTAAGAACAGTGAAAGTCAGTGTGAGAAATGGACCCTCGTTTCCTGTTTCTACAGATGGGTCTGAGTTTAATTCAGATGATCTAGTTGTTCTTGGGTCTTAGGGCTTATTCCAATTGAAACAATCGGTCTCCATTAATCGATCCAATTCCGCGGGAACTCTTGCTGATTGCAATCAGTTTAACAGATTACAGCGCCTCCTCTTGTTTCCAACGTACTCGTATAATCAAAAAGTTTTCTATATTCTACTCAATACCAGGAAGAGGCGTGTTAATCTGCCAATCTGACTGCATCCAGCGAGAGTCCCGCGGAGTTGGACCGATCTACGTAGGCCGATAGTTTCATTGGGAATGAGCCCTTGGTAAAGCATTATGCTGGGCACCCTGAGTTTCAGTTTAATAGAAATTCTCCTTTCAAACCTGCACGCATGTTGTTTCCTTATTGACGGTGACGGAGTGCGTAGGAGAGTCGCCGTCATTTCTCGGAAATTAAACGTGCAGCTACTGGGCGAATTTAAAAAACAACAAATTTGCCACATTTACGAGTAAGTCACCTAAAGCTATGAAAACATTGTGTCAAAATCAACATATGCACAATGTGTCCCGTAGTTCACCTAATAAAAAGGCAATACAAGTCCTTTATGCTGAGCAGTGTTTCAAAATAGTTGCTATTCTGAAGACGACGTTGCGAATACATGTTTAAGCCATGAATTGCTGTTCTAGGGAAGACGGTGAGCATATTGAAATACATGTAGAAGAAGAGGAGTTGAGCAAGGACCCCAGCACAGATGGCGCCCAGGACGATGACAGCGGATGGGACACTGATCTGGAGATGGAAGGTAAAGTGCAGTTTTTACTATAATAATGTTTCAAAAGAATTTCAAATTTTGTAACATTAAAAAAAACTCTAATAGAGCGCATAAGTAAGTTTCAGTGGAATTTAAAAAGCTGAAGATTTTTGCGAAAATCGGCCATTCATTTGTTTGCTATTACCCTGGACATTGAAATGTTTTCTAAATATTCTTGATAAATCGGATAAATGAGCTTTACATTGCCTTGTAGACGCACTGCTTAGTAGTTTTCTGTCTGCTGTTCCACTAGATTTTTTACTTCTCTCTGTAAAATATATATACTGTCTTGTTCTACATTTTCTTTGTTACACTCGTTCAAATTTGCCACTCGTAACTTACCCTTTTATAAAGCAAAGTAATAAAGTATGATTTACTGATCCGATTAGATAACTTACCATAAAAGTGCCCGTACCCTTGTTCCCTTTTTTCAGATGAAAAGAGCATGTATGACGTATCCGGCCGGTATGTCTACCTAGAAACGTGTAAGGAGCTAGGCGTGGTTCCAGTGTCATACTTCATGAGGCACATGCACGAGCCGGACATGGTTATGAAGCACCACGGTCTCGGGGAGGCAGGGGCCAAGGCGATGGCAGTGCCTTTAGTGGTAGGTTATATACTAGTGGAACTTTTCTGATTAAATTTATAACTTATCTGAGGCCCCATTCCCATAAGCGCCGTCGGTTTACGTGGATCTACCGAACTCCGCGGGGACTTTCGCTGAATGCAATCAGTTTAACAGATTAACACGCCTTCTCCCGGCTTTATAAGTAGAATGCAGAATAGTTAGTGACTCTCGCTGAATGCAATTAGTTTAACAGATTAACACGCCTCCTCCTGGCTTTAAGAAGAATGCAAAAAAACTGGGTGTTTATACGAGTAGGCCTATGTTAGAAACAAGAGGAGGCGTGCCATTCAGTTAAACTGATTGCACTCAGCAAGAGTCCCCGCAGAGGTGTCTATGGGAATGGTGTCCTAAATGAGGTGATATCTAAAGATGAAAAGCAAGCTTTTTTTTTCACCTTTGCCTTGGTCTAAACGAAAAAAAATTGTTCTGAGTGTTTAGAGCGGGAAGATCTTTTTAATATGTTCGGTTTGCTTTTTTTTTCTGTATGCTACTCCCTCTTTCATTGTCTGCACTTAATCAGGTGTTTAGGACTACTTTGTGCTTGTCGTTATCGTTTTATCATCTAGAGTATTTCTTTAAATACGGGGAAGTGTTACAGGTGCAACTGTGTCGAATAAATCAAGGTTAGCGCTTCAAAGGCCGCATTCAGAGCAGACGATCCGTGGTCGTTATAATATTATATCCAAGCCCAGCTACGATTTCACTCAGGCCCGTAGCCAGCAATTTCAAAAGGGTTTTTTTTTTCTGAAAAAGTGGACCTTTTTCCATAAAAACTTCATGAACCTAGATCAATTTTACCCAGAGTGGACCTTTTCCCACCAAAAGGGGCGGTTCTTTCCTTTCGAACCCCCCCCAACCCCCCNCATTCAGTTAAACTGATTGCACTCAGCAAGAGTCCCCGCAGAGGTGTCTATGAGAATGGTGTCCTAAATGAGGTGATATATAAAGATGAAAATCAAGCTTTTTTTCACCTTTGCCTTGGTCTAAACGAAAAAAAAATTGTTCTGAATGTTAAGAGCGGGAAGATCTTTATAATATGTTCGGTTTGCTTTTTTTTCTGTATGCTACTCCCTCTGTCATTGTCTGCTCTTAATCAGGTGTTTAGGAGTACTTTGTGCTTGTCGTTATCGTTTTATCATCTAGAGTATTTCTTTAAACACGGGGAAGTACTGTATAACAGGTGCAACTGTGTCGAATAAATCAAGGTTAGCGCTTCAAAGACCGCATTCAGAACAGACGATCCGTGGTCGTTATAATATTATATCCAAGCCCAGCTACGATTTAACTCAGGCCCGTAGCCAGCAATTTCGAAAGGTTTTTTTTTTTTCTGAAAAAGTGGACCTTTTTCCATAAAAACTTCATGAACCTAGATCAATTTTACCCAGAGTGGACCTTTTCCCACCAAAAGGGGCGGTTCTTTCCTTTCGAACCCCCCGAACCCCCCCCTCCCGGCTACGGGCCTGTTAAACTTAACACTATTTTCAACTCGGGCGAATGTACTTCAACTGCCAACAATTTGTATGCATGTTACTCTCTGAAAACAGTGTTCACTTGTTGTCGGTAACAAAATTATTGTTTGTATTCTATGTACTCTTTAAGAGGCCTATATGATATAAGAGGCGTATATGCATGTATCTACACTAATCACTTTATCAATTTTTTTAGACTAATACTTCCATCGTTGTTTTGGATCTGGAGGATAATTCTCTTGGTCCGCCCGGTGCTAAATGTTTGGCAGACATGCTGAAAGAAAATTGTTACATCAGCGAATTGGTAAGTGCATTCAGTGCAAATTCCTGCTAACAATGATAGTGCGTAGTGTAGCCTAATTGTAAAGATAAGCTGTTACGTTATGATAAGTGTGTGATATATGGAAACAAATAAGCTTATTTTTTCTTGCGCAGAACACTTCTTTTAATATATTCATTTATCACACGTGATTGTCAAAAAATGTCACTTTATTGGGTTAATTTGGTTAAAAATAAATCACGTATACGCAAGCAGATGTCAGGATGGCCGAGCGGTCTAAGGCGCCAGACTCAAGGTGATCCTTACCTGTTGCCGCGCAGGTGTGAGTGTTCTGGTCCACGAATGTGGGCGTGGGTTCGAATCCCACTCCTGACAATAGACTTTTTCTTTTCGTTTGATGTCTCTTCTCTCGTTAAACGTTATTTTCAGATTCTTATTTGTAATATTTCCCTTAATGGTAAAATTCATTAAATTTTATCTTTAAGAAAGAAAGGCAGCAGTAAACTCCTTTTGTTGTGTGGAATATTCACATCTGGTGTATGAAACGAATCTTTAAAATACTGAAGCAAATTTCACAATGCAAAATATGTTTTAATAATCAGTTTTTTGAAATTTTACATAATTGATAACCAAATTGTATCATTTTGATGATTTATTTTCAGGGACTTGGGTTCAACCACATAGGCAGTGAAGGTCTCGGTGCAATAGCTAGTATGCTCAAAACCAACGTCAATATCAGAAAGCTGAACCTTGCCGGTAAGAGTTATATTTTCCATTAGATTTATTATTGTTAACGTCTAGATTCTTTGAAGAGGAAGAATCAATAAACTCTGAGGAATAACACTGAAGTAGATACCCTAGATGTAGCAAGAAAAGAAATGAACAAACACGCACTCAGACAGACACCACAGGTACATGTATAAAGCATTTCTTTTCATGTCAGCCGGCTATTCTGATGAAAAGTCGGCATAAAACTATTTTCAGCATTTGCATTCTAATAAAGTGGCATGGATAATGTATAAGATCGATGGTAAGCATTTGGTCCAACTTTTAACAGTTGGAATCAAAAGCCTGGTCGCGTTTATATTGATGTGCCTAAAACGTCTCTGAATAGCGTTTTTAATTTTCCAGGAAATGATCTAAAAGACAAAGACGCAGATGTTTTAGCGAATATTTTGATGGTAAGAAGAGTCGCATTATTAATGGCGTAATTATAAGTAACGTGTGCATATCTAGATATGGGAATATTCGCACCATACGCAAACTAGATTTGTAAATACTGTATGAATGTTTTCTGTCATTGATGCCATGGGGTCTGGCTACCCTTTACCCCGGCTACAAAGTGATTTTTTCACTAGATATTCTCAAATGTTTCGCTGGCTAAGTATGTGCACATATCTGTGTTGTCCAGCGAGAAATTAAAAAAAAAACATTTTGCACAGGTATTACCCTTCTGCATTGTATCTACAAAAGTTAAATTTTCTTCTTTTATATTCGTTCCACAGGAAAACGATCTAATACGATATTTAGACCTCAGTCACAATGAACTGTGCGAAGAAGCGGGAGAACTGATAGGCCCTGTCATAAGCGAAAATGAAGCGTTGGAAAGCTTAGACCTCAGCTGGAACCATTTAAGGCGCCGAGGAGCAGAGAGCATATGCGAAGGTGTACAGGTATGGCAGCACAGGAGCTTCACGCACACATATGTCATGCCATAAACGCCAAACGCGCGTGCATGCACACGCACATCATGAATAGGAGGAAATAAACGTTGTTGATCTATCAACGAGATGTTGTGAATAATTATCAATTAGCATTGACCCATGTTTTTTTTAGCTTTATACTGATTTGAAGGAGTAGAATCTCCCTCTCTCTCTCTCTCTCTCTCTCTCTCTCTCTCTCTCTCACACACACACACACACACACACAATTGACGCACAAGGATCCAGTCACTGACTCTCGCTCGAAAACGCACGCCCAAACCCAAAGACTGTTAGTACTCGCAATGTATTTTCACTATCTTTTCCAGAACAATATGCGACTAAAAACCCTGGATCTGTCCTGGAATGGCTTTGGTAATGAAGGCGCCGTTGCCATGGCGTCAGCTCTCAAATTCAACAGCACGCTAACTGAGCTAAACCTCAGTGACAACCGTATCACAGCGGAAGGCGCGTTTATGCTTGGGAAAGGACTGGACGCCAATGAATCTTTAAAAATCCTCAGGGTATGATCTTTTTAGTAGCGCTTTAGACTTGCTGGAATAAGTTATAAATGGACTGTTATATATAAAGTCAGTTTACTGGGTTGATACTTTTTTCTTCGTCCAACGGAATATATATGCGGCGAAGAAAGTACACGTAGTCTCCTGTTGGGCGAGATGGATGTATTGGTGTTTTGCGCCGTGCATTAATACTGTAGAAGAAAATATAGTCTCCTGTTGGGCGAGATGCATGTATTGGTGTTATATGCGCCGTGCATTTATACTGTACTGTTCTGTTATATTTTCTTTTTATATTTAAGGTTGGTAACAATCCTATTGGAACAGCTGGTGCTTTTGCTCTACTCAAGGCCATCAACAACGAAAGGAGTGTCCTGACACTGCTGGATTTATCGGTAAATACTTTTTTCTGAAAAATTGTTTCACGTTGCTGTATTTTCTATATATGTGCAAGTGTGTTATTGTTGGTCGATTTTATTCTTAGGCGAAAATTTGATTAATTAATTCTCAAGAAATGCCATTTAAGAATATATTTAATCCGTGTAAAAGCGACAAATTTCCCCCATTGACGTTATAGTTTTCATGTTATGATTTAGGGAGTTTTTGTCGATAAAGAATTCGACGCTTTGGAGAAAGAAATGATTGAAAACCGAGGCTTGACCGTCATCCATGCAGGGGTAATTGGGAATTATGTCATCACAGGAAAATATGCCAAAAAAGCAGGTATTTGAATGATTGGATTTTTTTTACTTTTATCGAAAACAGTCCCGCAGTGCAACTAAGACAATACGTTAATGGAAATCATCCAAGATAACCCAAATTCTCATTACTTAGCGTAAAATCAAGTGACATTTCGCAAAATATAAAGGAGAGTGTGGTTGGGAATGACAGCAGACTAACGAATGATGTGCAACAACATATAAACCTGGCGGAATTAATCCACAGATATTTTTGTGGTTGCTATCTCTTAAGTTCTTTCGAATTAAAGCCTATTGCACAGCGGTACATATTCGGCATATTTTGGGTTTCACTTAAGTTTTACTTTCTATACAGAGTAAATGGAGCAAACCTTTACTTGAGTCCCGTTGTCACGGTAAGTTTAGACTCTCTGGTACGTCTTAGACCTCATTCCCATTCTACAGGACTCTCGCTGAGTGCAGTCAGCTTACCTGAATGACACACCTCCGCCTGGCGTTAAATACAATACAGAAAAACTGATTAAACTCAGCAAGAGTCCCCACAGAGTTGGATCGATCTATGTAGGCCGGTGGTGTCTTTGGGAATGGGGTCTTAGAGCCACTTTCTATATTTTAGGTGCCGATGACTTGACCAAGGATCCCGTCTTTTTGTTACGACAACACTGCGAGAAAAAAGACATCCGCATGGTTGACTTATTCAGAAACTTTGATAAGAACGGAGACTATAAAGTTACGAAAGAGGAATTCAAGAAAGGAATAAAGGTATGGTTAAATACTTCAATATTTTTTTCTGATAAATCTTATCAGTTACGAAAGAGGAATTCAAGAAAGGAATAAAGGTATGGTTAAATACTTCAATATTTTTTTCTGATAAATCTTATCAGATATTAGTTTTAAATTATATGTAATATTGATTACTTATCTTCACATCGATTTTCGGATTGGGCTATGCCTCTCTACCACAATGCTTTCCTCTTCATTTCAGGTTGCTGGGATCAATTTAGACGACCAACAAATACTTGATCTAGTGGAAAGATTAGACAAATGCCCAGACGGCAGAATCGACTATTCGTAAGTTGCTGTTGAATTTATATATTTTCTGTCCTTTTTCTTTTTAATTTAAGACGCCTATTTCTTTGCTTATTCTTTGTAAAAATATGTCAGACTAACATATTCACTCCTAGACTTTCGTAGACTAAAAGAAGCTGTAGTTTCGATCTTGCAGTAAACTCTATCAATATTAATTGCAACTTTGCAATTACCTTTGTTGCTTTATTGTAATTATTACACCTCTGAATCAAGCTTTAGTTTTTAATTTTATTCAACTTTTTTTCTTTGCTGGTTATAATATATCACGTTTCGTTTCGTTGCGTCTTTTCAGAGCTCTTCTACGCTTGACTGGCGAGTTATGATGTTTTCAATCTGGTCGCTATATGGTGCTACACATCTCTCTTAAAATTTGCGTAGACTCTCCAAGTCTTGAACTGATAATCTGTTTCTTTCGCTTAACTTTTCTTGTACAACATAGATGTATCTGAAAAATGACATTTAGAAAAAAGATGCCATTTTGATCAATAAATCATAATATTTCTTTTGTCTGATGTTGCTATTGATATTGCCGTATATCGATTTGTGATTACCATTACATATTTGGTCAGCAATGACCTAACAGCAGTAACGAAACTCTTAAAGTTAGAAAATCAAAATGTATAAGGGTTCTTACATTTTAGTGACTTAAAGCTCTCTATTATCCAGGGAAATATGTGCGTCAGAGAGGGATCACATTGAAGAGAAGAGAAAGATTCAGAACGCACGAAAAGAAAAGACCAAGAAGTCGAAAAAATCATCCAAGAAACGAAAATAACTGCATCGAATCCCTTGTTTCTTTATAAAATCTAGATACCCTGAGTATTAGTATATAATGCTTTTGTATATGATTTATTAAGATCCTCAATCAATTATGTACTTCTGGTTTCCCGTCTTGCCTAACCATGAGATTGCGCTTTGTGGGCCAGTTGCCATATCTTACCCTTAATTTCTGAGACAACTGGAAACTCACCGTGATAGCCGTCAATATCCTAATCTAACAGTGTTACACGGTGAACGGTGAGACCAAGTGAAGCTGCGTTGCATGCAGGTTAAAGAAAGTCACCGTTAGTGCTCGGGGCATCAACTCTACGCATTGAAACATTCTGGGCAATGATATCAAAATGCTTCTGCAAGTTACTGTAAAGTTACTATATTGGCTAGCAGTACATACGGGTATATTTTTTCATGTTTACAACCGAAATTTTATGACTACAAGTGTCTCCATCCTTTCCACTGGGTTGGTAGCAGTTTAAGAAAAAGAAATCCGATGCGTTTATGTTTTGATCATCCTGCATTACCTCTGTTGTGGGTAACCCTATTTTGTTCCGGTAGAATTGTCCTTGAAGTACCATTTGATCAACACTTATAACGCGAACAAAATGTTCAAGAAATTATTTTTATACTCATTGCTTGTTTAGCACTGTAATCGTATATTAGTAGGAGAGCCTTCTTATATATTAACTCAGGTAGAATTCTTTTGAATTTCACGTTCTCTTTATTTGCCAGTTTCTTATCCTTTGGGTAAATATATATTTAGGTGACGACGAAAAGTGTTTTCACTGATCTTCATTAACTTTTCATCCATAATACATTAGAAAAAAGATCGATGAAGCATCTTGTTCATAAATTTCGCCATGGGCTTATTAACGCATTCTAAATAAGAGTCTTCAATCAATTTTTTAAATAAAAATTATTTTAAAAGAACATACATGTATTTCTGAGTTTAACAGCCACCCTTTTTCAAATATCAATAAAATTCAATAAACTTTTCTCGAAACAGACGTGAAACTGCCATCCCGCACAATATACTATAATTTTAATCGAGGTAAGTGACCATGGTCTCCAAACAAAAAGTGGTTGGGGCGTTGTTGAAGAAGTTGACACGGGAAAGAAAAATAGGCTATATTTTTTTAAGTTAAAACTTTAAGCGTGGTTTCGAGGCCTCTGTTAAAAAAAAAATACAACCATTTGTCAAGTAATTTTAAGTCAGCAAATGAATATATGGAATGAATATGGAACGTCATTTGGTAATTCAAGAGAATACCGTGTAACAAGGATTCAAAATAATTAACCAGCCCAGCAGGTCCAGTCTGTTTCGCATTCAGCTTCCTGGATATGCTGTGTAAAAACACAATGCTGTTTACCAATATTGACGAATGTTTTGAGAGGGTAGAGAAACACTTGAACTAATAACCGGCTTTGAAAACGTACGTTAAAGGGAGCGAAAAAGCTGCATTGAAAAGGCATCGATTGAATTCTCAAGCAAACGACCTTTTCTGCATGGCCAGGACCTCGGTGACAAAACCCCTCAAGGAGCCGACATGTCAAGTTGACATACCATCTTTTGTTTGTATTTGGTTTTTAAGATAGCTCATGCTAATACCGGTGCAAATGTTTACTGCACAATGTTAATAAAAAAGTCCTTTAGCTAATAGAACTAAGCGTCTATAATATAACGTATCAAAATGAGGTACTTAAGATTTTTAAAATAACACACATGGAGCGTGTGGTAGACTGCAGTGACGTCATTAAACTCGATTCTCGTGAGGTTTTTGTTCAACGAGAAAAGCCTATGGGTCAATTAAATGGCCAGCTACCACATGCTGTGTTTTCACGTAACGGTTTACGTAATGAAACTGCAATCAAGTGAAATCCTTTGCTCCAATCAAGGCATCTGACAGACCTTAAAGTGAATAGAAATACAACTTCGCCCCCTGGATTAATTCGTCACCACGCGACCTCAACCGAACGCTGCTTAAGAAACTCTTATCGCAGCAGTGATTATAGTAGAAGTTCACCGATAGCCGATTTTTCCAATACGCCAGGTGACGCTCCTAATCCACCGCCTGTGTTTCCAAACAACACTCGCGTTTAGTTTTAATCGAAGACTGAGACTTTACACTATATGGTTAGTATTGTAATTCAATCGAGCGTAACTCATAGGAGGTGACTGCTTCTCCGGATCAACCTCTAATAAGGCACCTTTTACCAGAACTCCACATATTGCAGTTGCTATGGTAATTTCACTAACAATATGGAGGACACGGAGAGAGACGACATAGGCAATGGGGTAAGTTAACGTTCTGGTTTGATTGTCTCTCTGAAAACAACTCAAAATAAAGACATTAACAGAAAATAAGACATTGGACAACAAGCCTGTATCATGTCTTGGTGTTAGCTGATAAAATTTAATAAAAAAGATCCCATGTTTGCACAGTGCCTTACTAGCGGAAACTATAAGGAAATTGGGTCCTGGTGAAATGATAATCTTGGTGAAAGCAGTTAAAATATGAACACGTGAAATGAATGAATGAATGAATGAAAGGATAGCAAAAATGTTATTGTGAAATTACGTATGAATAAATTGAACTAACACTTATACTTGGGGGTTATATTGCCAATCCCGACAGTTCGCACACAAAAGCTGAACGTTTCATTAATCCAGGTTAATTAATTGTAGAATTCTCCCGGTGAGAGGCAAAAGGTTAACATCTCTTCTCAACCAAGTGTACTGAAAGAATGTTGTTAGGTGATCAATAAATTCTTAAGAAAACCTCGTACATCTATACTTACCCTGTATAGTTGGTATAGTTACACGACAGCCGAGACGATTGCCCCAACCTGCAGAGCAGACTTTGCTCTGTTCTCCGGGTCAGTAGTTACACTAAGATCATGAAAGATTTGAGCAACTTCTGCAAGTCATGATATGAGTAACTCTCGTTAATAAGAATGGTAGAAACCAAATGAGAAACCAAAAAGGCGGAGGTCCAAGGACCAGGCTTAGCGACATTGTTTCATAGTTATTACTTTACTTCCGAAGAATAACTCAAGTAGGCTAACGGGACGTAGCACTGACTACATGCTATTCTGTTTTCATTTGTTTAATTTCCTTCTCTTTATCTCTATTATCCTTTTTCGGGGGTTGGGTGGTAGGGAGTTGTTCTTTTAATTCAAAAAGCATAACATACTGATCACCACTACATTAATGTGTTGATCGCAGGAGCCTATACGGCCTATATACAGTATGACTTATATATTATATATCTGCTTTGTACCGCTAAGGGATCAACATCGCTGAGGCAACGTGTAACCCAATCTGTTGAAGAGTTACGTGACCCCAATTTAACAGAGTTTGATAACTCTGACGTACAGATCGATCTTCTGCTGTGTGATTGATGAAGGGGAGACATTCTGTTTTTATATAACAAGATATCGTATACCCCCCAGCAGTGATTTTAATGCTACAGGTTGATGTACTCCCATTAATTCTTTTCTATATGTGTAGCCTCACTATTTACAATTTGATTTAAAAAGGACAAAAATATTCAAGTATAAAAGTGGATTGTAAATGTAGAATGCGGTATGATATGAGAAAATTGTGACCGCAGTTTAAAAGATATTAGAATATCACACATGACTTTTACAGTTTAAAAAATAAAAATAAAATATACAAGTTGATTCTATTAATATTTTTGCAGGGTAACATTCAAAAGAGTTCAAGGATTAGTCAATTAGTCTAATTTCCTTACTTCTGTATTATTAGAAAGACTATCATGCTTACTATAACAGAATTACAGTGATATTTACAAAAGGTGAAAGCAATACCCGCAGGTACGTAACGTTGGGACATTGTTTTCTTGGCTACCTTGTTGAATGTTTTCAAGTGGCCAGGAGTCTGTTCCGTAAAGTTGTTTTAACGTGGCATTGTATATGCTAAGTGCTATTATGCTGATATTTACCAATTCTGCGCTACAAAATGGCAGCGTAGTTTTGGTATTTGCCAAGTAAATATTACACGTTTAATAGGAAACGGTATTTATACACACGTGCACAGTTAAATTATTCAATAGCTTTTCTGTAATATATGAAAATATTTTGGATCTGATTTGGTAAGTGCCTTTTCAACGAGGTCAAGCAACTAGCTCAGTTTACAGGCGCTCGTCTCTATACCTGAATCAAATAGGGACTATTAGTTTGATTGCCTTTCTCTCACAACTGGCTAATTATTTGCCAATTCTCGGTGACGATAATGCCAAGAAAATTTTCAGACGTCTATAACCATACAGGACCTGTGTGACCAAGAACATTTTCAGACGTCTATAACCACTGTGTTACACTGCATAAGGTTACAAAATATCAGCTGTTTGTACAGAGGCATTGTATTGTGTCGATAGTGTAGAAATATAACGAACTTGAAAACCGGCGTCACAAACAAGTTAAAATAACATTGGATTGTTCTTAATTAATCCACGATTATGTAATTTTGATTATAAGAGGGAGGTCACTTGCATAACTTGTTGTTGAAACTGGTATTTGTAATTCACGCGTTCACGCTTCCCAAGAAGTCTTCCTGAATAAAAGAAATGGTGTTGGAAATGTTGCCATCAGTTCAGACGAAAATTGCCAATTTTAGAAGAAATAAATGCGTGTAACATACGAAAAGGTTCAGTTTTTAAAAATAGTGTTCGGAGTTTAAAACATAAACGACAGAACTACCTGAGTACACATTTTTTGTGAAATTTTATGGACAAAATTACTTTTTTAATCAATCTTTAAATAATATTGGAGTTTATTCTCATTTCATATAGGAAAACACGGATGCTGACACAAATGGAGCCCACAACGAGAATTCAACAGAAATTACTAAACATACTGAAAAGGATGGTCCTATGACTGTTATAAAGGAAGAAGAAGAAGAAAGACCATTCACTTCCAACAAGCGTCTTCCTTCCCAAAATGGCCGCCCATCATTTTTAAGAACTCCAGGAGGAGATCCCAGTGCAGACGATAGGTCGCATTTTAACGAAAACAATGAAAAGAATATTCAAAACCAAAACGGTAAAGCTGATATTCTAATAACTGAGTTAAGAGAAGAAGACAACGAAAAAGAAAGTAAAAGTGACACGGAGTCTGACATAGATGAGCAAGAAATAAGTTTAAGGAATGTAGCGCCGTATGAGCCGCCAGATGATGACGATGACGATGGATGGGATACTGACCTAGAGATAGAAGGTGAGCTTGGAGAGCCAGTAATAATTTTTTTAAGAGAGAAAAAGAGATGGGACAATCTTTCTATTCTATTTCTGACCTCAGGAATCCAATATGAAGAAATAAAATATCGTGCACACTTTTTCGTCCAAAATATAATCAACTTGACGTCATTTAACAAACAATAGGGCACAATTGTTGGACCAAATGTTATACTATTATTGTTGTAAACGGTCTGAATTCAGAATCAGTATATATTGAAAAATTGTGGAGAAAAAAGTGTAATTGTACCGTGGTATAGATTAAAAACACACATGGCTGACATAAAACTTGTAACTTTTGATCATTATTTTATTCTAATTTTGCTCGTAGAGGACAGTAAGACCCCACACGATCCTACCTACCGAACACAATACACGAAGCTCTGCGAACAGCTGGGCGTGGTCCCTGTGTCTTATTTTACCCGACATATGGTGGACAAGGTCATTATAATGCGGAGTCACGGCCTGGGAGTCCAGGGAACCAGAGCCATAGCCAGGGTGCTCAGAGTAGGTCACGTGACCAGGGTGTGACAGAAGCGAGCTTTTCTTTTATTTTGTTAACTCTGTAATACTCTACAGTAAACGAGGCGGTGCATCATAATGCTGTTTTTTAAGTGATAAAGTAGAAATGCATAATTTTACTCGCACGCACGCATACAGATAAAATACCATATACATGGGCAAATCCTTTTTTATATGTGTTACATGTTACTTTAAGAATATTTGACTTTGCATTTATTTAGGATGTCATAAGCTTAGAGAAATTGGATTTAGAAGGAAACTGGATGGAAGGGGAAGGAGGGAAAGCGTTGTCGAAAACCCTAGAGGAGAATGAGTACATTCATGATGTGGTAGGTGTTACGTAGAACGAAATGAACAAGAGTCGGGTGTGCAATGTGCTAAAACGTCACCGGGACACACAATGTTATCTTGTGCCGCAGCCAATGTTAAGCTCATATGGCTTTAGCGTACATAGATGATATAATAACCGTGTATTAAATGAGAAAACGCGCCTTTTACTTATATTGCGACCCTCACCCTATTCAACGACCCGATCCAAGCTTCAGCCTATGGCTTAGAACATCCCAAAGGAACGAACACGATATAATGAACGCTGTGTGCCAAAAAAATCCATGGTCGGACCTCCTTTCTCCCCCCCCTACCAAAAAAAAAAAAAAAAAAGAAAAAAAGGGAGACCGACAGCAGAACATGCCTTATACTCTGTAGGCTATTGCTAAACATCTTAAACCGTAACAACTGAATATTTTCACTCCAGCAGAGGGGTTTGTTCAATATTAGTGTACGCAATTTCGAAGTACGTGCACACTGTTACGGCATAGTTGATTATTTCTCCACTCATTTCCTGGGTGTGTTGCTCCTAGAATTTATTAATTTCCACGAAAATTACAGTGCGTTTATTTACTTACAGCAGACAAAGTCATTAGTATCTGCTTTCGAACCACAGAAACACACTAATGTGGTAAATATTACTGTGCACAGTAACGATCCACAAGGAATATTATCTACGTAGCATGAGAATATATTCACATTTTCATTTATGAAAGTGCTAAAATTGAGTTCGAAATGTTACTTGTTTCCTTATTACAAGTATATATAACAGCCTAAACAAAAGAACCCAATCTAACAAATAAGTCCAGTCCCTTATATGATAATCTACACTTACATTGTAAACCACGCGTTATCAAATCAGATTATCATTAGATCGAATGATATTAAAATGTTCTGCTGTCTTTAAGCACGTGTGGAGTTATACTGCAATTTACATATCCACTGATGACTTGAGCTTTCTCATGAGCCCATATCTCTTCTCTGATACCCCTGGTTCAATTCGTGACAATAAAAGATTAACTGAATTCCTTTTATTAATTGACTAAATCTTCGTGAGGTCTTTTAGGCAGATACACAATCATGTAAACAGACATTTCTGCCTTCAAGATGAATATTATTCATTTTAAATTTAATGTTCTCTGTTTATATTTATTATTTTCAGTCTATGGCCAAAAACAAACTTGGCTCTCAAGGTGCTTACTACGTTGCAAAGATGCTTCTGGTCAATACGAATTTACGGAAGTTGAATATTTCGGGAAATGAGTTCCAGAATAAAGATGCAGCAGGCCTGGCTGATGCTATGGAGGTAATGTTTTGTTTATGGAGATCATCAAGAATGAATAACCATTCCATTGGGAGTACATTCTTGAAATTATGCATAGGCATCCTTGGTTCATTAAATAAGTGTTAGCTTTAAAAAACTTGCCCGATTTTCAAATCGCTGGAGTAAAGGAACCTAAGAATGGTGTATCATTTTTGGCATTTTGATCACAGGATTGCAAAAACGTACGCTGCACGCTTCTTCCCAGTGACTAAGCTTCAGTTTGTTCAGTCTCAGTGCACAAACACGATAAAAGAATACTAACTACGCACATGTTTTTTTTTTTTTTCGCAGAAAAATACTACACTCCGTGAGCTTAACCTAAGTCATAATTTCTTTGGTGAAGAGGCAGGCGAAGTGCTCGGACCAGCTATTGGTATGTACATGAATCGAGTATTATTGATGAGGTCTTGGCTATTACCGTGCTCTGATTATCTATAGGGTGTATTTTAATTTCTTTAAAAAGAATGGTCGTGATGTATTGTATATGTGAAGAGCGCGTATGTAATATGACTATTTCCTAGGGTATGCGTGCTTCTGCTCGCAAACATCCCACCTTTGTTACACATGTTAGTCTTTCATATAAAAATTATGAAGAAATGTAATACAGACCAAACACAGAATTTAATGTTTGTCCGTTTTTTAGGAAAAGTAAGGCGGAGAAATATATATCATAAATTGTTAATTTATATTTTTCATACATGTATTTTTCTATTTTCATTTTGAGGGAGATTGTATATGCAGAAAAGTAAAAGTAATTATTTTCAACAGGAAGCCCTTACAATTATTCGGTTAATGAGGACCATTGCTTAATCCTGTTTTCCTAAATATTTCCTTTAAATTTATTGAAGGCGAGTCTCTTACGAGAGAAACCACCTTGTTATTCAGAAATTGAGCTGAAATAGCAAAGGAAAATGCATTAATAACCATCAGGTGGCATAGCTCTTTGTAATGACCATTTTCTATTTAAAAATACGAACAACACAAGCACACACGCACGGAAAAACAAATTGAAGTATTGAGTGTACACACCTAGGTATAAGCATGACATTTCAACGACTAATAATTTTTCTGGCTGTCGCCGTAAATGACAAATGTCATGCTTGGCTTTAAATTTCTCATTTCACGGCCCACAATCTGTCTTATAAACATTTGTACCAGTCTCTTATTTCAGCCCATATATATATATATATGGATTATGTAAGGATTATGTAGACCCTAACATATTTTTTGAACACTTCAAAAATCTCAGCAGTAATGCCGACGGCGGTGATTACGATAACACCTTTAAAGAGAATGTTGAATACCAGCTCCCAATTATGGAGGCAAACAATGACAACATCAGTCTCTTAGATCATGAGATTACCACAGAGGAAATTATTAAGGGAATCAACTCCCTAGGAAACAATAAATCACCCGGGGAAGACAAAATCACAAATGAAATGTTAAAATCCAGTAAAACAATAATAGCACCAATTCTTCACAAACTATTTAATGCCGTCTTCCATAGAGCAGAATATCCAGATGTTTGGAATAAAAGTTTTATTACACCTATATTCAAATCAGGCGACCCCAGCAAAGCAGACAACTATCGTGGAATTTCCATAACCAGTTGTGTTGGAAAATTATATAACTCACTCCTGCTAACCAGGCTTAAAAGCGCATGCAAAAAGAAGGGCGTCCCACTCCCCCATCAAGCAGGATTTAGGGAAAATCACAGTACTGCAAACAACACATTTATTCTCAAGTCACTTGTAACAAAATTCGCTAGGTCTAAAAGAAAGCTGTACACATGTTTTATAGACTTCAGTAAGGCGTTTGACTGTGTTTGGAGAGAGGGTCTCCTGTATAAACTGTTAAAGCTTGGGGTTGGTGGGAAATTTTATAGAAACATCAAAACCATGTATAGTCATGCAACGGCTTGTGTTAAAACCCCTTCGGGCATCACCGATTCATTCTCCACATATAAAGGTGTCAAGCAAGGGGATACTCTAAGCCCATTCTTGTTTAACCTATTTGTAGACGATTTACTAAGAGGTATAGACAATTCAAAAAGTGACCCCCCTCTGATCAATAACAAACCGGTGTCTGGGCTATTCTATGCTGACGACCTAGTTCTCTTTTCGAAAAGCCCATTAGGTCTCCAATATAGCCTGGATTGTCTAAAAACGTATTGTAAACTATGGAGACTTTCGATAAACATTAAAAAAACCCAAGTTGTCATTTTCAACAGCAAAGGAAAAATCACGGACGGCACCACTCAAAGCAAACACAAATTTAACATTGGCGGTAAACTACTCACNTATATAAGGTATTTACAAAACACGATACACATTTTGGCCTAAAAACAACGGATGAAAAATTTACTATAATTATGAAATGTCAAGAAAAAGAAACTCTTATTGCACTAGCTCAGTTTCTCTCCTCCGCTTTTGCTAGGAGGGATCTACAAGACAGTGCTGCACTCATCGGTAATTGAGTAATAGTAGTAATAGAAACTTTTTCAAATAGTAAATAAGTAAATATCCTCATATACTCATTGTGATTGTTTAATAACATATTCACAAAAATTGTATTCATATTGTCATTTTCATCCACACAAGTGGATGCATATGTTACAGTGAAATAAACTATATGTCTCTTCATCCAATTCTGAAAGCATTTATTTTCTTTTTATTGTATTTGTATCATCTAGGTGCCAATGAATACCTAGACGTTCTGGATCTGAGCTGGAACAATATCAGACGCCGTGGTGCCGTTGCTGTGGCAAAGGGTCTGGCGGTATGTCTTGTCAGACAGTATCACAGGGCTCTTTAAAGTCTATAAATTCAAGTTTTCTTCAAAAATTTGTGTTAATAAAAAGAAAACATTTGATCTCCCCAATATATTGCTATATCGAGAACTCGTCGGAAGTCAATTTCAGGTCAGCTGACCAATTTATGTTTCTTTTATGTGTAAATGTGAAACAAGAAGAAACGAGAGATGATAACAGCTTGTTTAAGCGTGTACGATTAACAGTTTTAAAGTATTCACCATGACGTTGTCTAGTAAAGATGCATACTTTTTAGTGTTATTTTCAAGGTCAGAATTTATCAAAAAATTATTTCCAAGAAAGAAACGCTTTTATGAACACAAATATACTTTTACGTTTTCTAGGAGAACGTAATACTGAAAACGTGTAATCTGTCCTGGAATGGCTTTGGCCCGGAAGGTGGTGCTGCAATTGCTGATGCCATAGCAAACAATTCCTCATTGCTCGAATTAGACATAAGCGGAAATCGACTGACATGCGATGTTGCTGTGAAGATAGGAAAAGCGCTCAAGAAAAATGAGACCCTTACTGTTTTAAAGGTAGATTCTAAGAAAGATTGAGCTGAGAGCTTAAGAAATGAGAACAAAATGAAAAAATATCATCTCCAATTCTTTCTATGGGAAGATATATTGTTATATAAATACAATTATCAACACAATTCTCGAGATGGCAAATCTCTATGTAATTGTGCAAGTAAAGGTGCAGCTACTAACTCATCCTCTCTTTCTTATCTGCATTATGTTGTTAAATGTCCAAATCAGATTTTCTTGTCTTTAGCAAGTTGAGAAGAACGTCTTCTTATCTTTGCAAAGAATTAACGTGGTGACAGTATCTTCTTGCTAATTATGCCTGATATTTTAGATGGGGAACAATCCAATATCCACCTCCGGTTGCATAGCAATCGTTACAGACCTCAGCAATTCTGAAGGAAGTGTTTTAAGTCACATTGATTTATCGGTGAGTTATAAATGATGCCTTGAGTGCTGTATGTGCAACCAACCTTTCTTGACGTTTATAACACAAGTTAAAATGAGTTTTGAAATTATAATCATATTTTGTAAAGACGTTAGGGCTTTCATCACATTGATTATTTATCGTTGCATTATTATGATTGTATTGAATGGTTGATTTCAGGAAATTCCAGTGGAATTTGAATTTCTCAAAATTGTCGAGGAACTAAAACAAAAGAGAAAAATTGAAATCCTCCATGGACCTATCCTGTCGTCTGGGAACACGGCTGAAGACATTGGCAAGCGCGCCGTTGATCCCCGCAGAAAGAAAGACCCGCTATTGGTTCTTCAGGAGCACGTGGTCATCAATGACTCACGATTGGTTAGCATGCTGCAGAAATATGACGTAGATCATTCTTTGAGCGTTTCTGCCGATGATTTTGTTGCAGTTCTCGAGGTTTGTTTAATATGCCGTGAAAGCATGCCGTTAAATCTGAAAACCTGGCTTACCCCTTCTAGCATGTTTACTGACTTATGACAATAAACCCAATAACATATATTCATTTTTTTTTCATTTTAATGATAAATGTACAAACAAGACTTCATGTAATTTTGACGGAAATGGTAAAGCTCACCCGCTGTATTGCAAACCTTCATAGTTCAACCCAGACCAATATTTGATTTTTCAAAATATTTTGCAACGCCTCTTCTCTTGGCAGTTATGCAATTCTTATTATCTAGTTGTCATCTTGCAGGAGCTCCAGGTGCCATTTGATCGTAAACAGTTACAGCTGATTGTGGATAAACTGGATAAAACTGAGAATGGAAGAATTAACTACGGGTAGGTCAATTAAAATATATGAAATTCAGTTTAGGTTAAGCTTTAGGTACACGAAAAACCTACCGGGGTATGTCATTGTGTAGGAAAAGGCTCCATGTGAGGAGAGTTCGCATGTATTTACACACGAGCGCACGCAAGCACGTGCATCGGACAACCCTGAGTTGTTCTTTTTAAAACTGTTCGAAATCTTGTAAGTATAAACACATTTCTAGTCTTTGTCCTTGACACATGTACAAAGAAAATATATCAGGTACTGCTACATGTATCATAGGATTGTGCGAGTAAATCATAAGACGTACTTTAATGAAACAGCATAAAAACGGAACTGACAGCGCTAAAAAAAGAAAGTGAGAAAGAAACTTGAGAGAAATGCCATTTGTAGATGTGACTTATTTTTACTAACACGCATACTTATGACATATTTTAGTCATTTAAATAGTAGGCATATTTGTAGTAACGCTCTCTGACCCTGGGCAGCTTGTTATTGTCACTCGGTTTACGTAAAGTACCGGGGACATTCCTTACATATGTAGACAAGCTTATATATCTTATATTTTGAAATAACGTGATGTGCATTTGGGACGCGTTTAAACACAACCGAACACGCGCCTAAGAAGAACATCGGTAGTGACAAACTGCGTGGCGCTTGGGAATTCTGTCCGAAATTTGAAACGCGATATTTGTAATAATATGCAAAAGTAAAAGAGTCGACATGACTTAAAAATCTAAATTTTACTCCTTTGGGATTGATACTTGAATTACTTACCGGTACAACACACACACACACACACACACACACAAAAAAAAAAAATTGAAATGCTGTAGTTCATAATGCACGCACCATAGATATATGTACGTGACATTCGCCAATAAGTCTTTACATTTGATACAGTTTAATGGAGCAAGTTTTGCTGTTAACAAAATGGTTATGTAAGCCATATTTTACTTTCTTGATGATTAACACAAGACTGGGACCCATTTTGCCGTGTGCCCAAAGCGTAGTTTTATAATTAATTTATTACGCAGGCGACTATATGATAACGCTCATAATAAATCGAACGCGAACGAACGAACCTCTCCAGCAGATAGTTATTATTTTTTATCAAAAAGTTTTTTCTGTTATTAAGTCAACAGTGCAGAGAATGAATAGCAGTCCATCAACACAGGCTGATAGATCGCTCCTAAAGCAGGTCTTTTCTGGCGTAATTTCAGTAAAAATTAAGCATACCTGTGGATGCAAGATGATAACCAATGATGTAGGCTACGTAAGTACAGTAACACTGCTTACGTTAAGACCAAAGAGGCCGACTTTTAATACTTAACTACTTAATACTTCATCCCATTAGCTTAATACAAGCGCCCAATTTGAAGATAAATGTATATATTGTCCGAAATGATACGACTAATAACGCCAAGAATAGACCGACTCCAACGCGTTCCATTTGTTGTGCGCGTGATCATATCGTGAGGCTGGTATGTACTGCCAGTGTCAAACTAAAATTAATAAATAAGGTAAGCATTGGACTGATAAAGCTATCTAAGCTATATTCACTCTATCCTCTTAAAGCTAGTCAGTGGCTGACTTTTTAACTTTTTCAAAAACTAGTGTTACTCATGGAAGTTAAATGTTTCAAGCCGTGCTAATATATATTACGTGCCTTGTGATATCTTGAATTATAGGGAACCTAGCGATATGATAAGTGTGTCATTTTCACTCTGTATTAGAAATAAAATATGATCAGCATTTGTGAGAGGGAATATTCATTATGAAAATACATGTACAGTCCCCTTCAAGTAATAGCTTTTCGTATACATATACATCGATTATATGTCTCCCGCTTGTCCTTTGCTTTTACACTCAATACCGTTGAACCTAGATGCTGTCAAAGGAATGAAGTTCTCAGAATGACAAAAAGTTAAAAAAAAGTTTGCTTTCAATAGTCGCTTTGGGCACAAGAAAATAATCACATGGGTTTGAACGCTAAATCAAAATGGTCGATATAAGTTTTACGTGGATGTGTTGCAACAAGGTTACAATTAGAAAGGATGATAAAGTCGATTTTGTTACCAACAAGACGCTGATCAAATCAATTAGGAAACCCTACCCTTTGCGACACACGTAGGTTACGTCATAAATGCTACCATTAGCCTGCGGACATCAGGCATTAAGTGCAAAAAATCAATATCAGCCGTCGATGGGAACAGATACCTGTATTAAAAGGAGGAATATTTGCTTTTGATATAGAGAGCATCCAGCCACTGCCCAGGCTCAAGGGTCTTGAAACCCTTTGTATTTGCCTTACTTTCAATTGTGAGAAGAGAGAAAACCAAACTGAGCCCGTCCCTCCATGTATGGGCTATATATAACGTAACGAGTTGGAATATGATGACAGAGTGAAGAAATGAGGCGGTGGTGGTGATGAGATGATTGAAGAATAGTTATTGCCATACTCCCCTGCGTCACCTACTCTTTGTATTTATTAGTATTTAACACCGCTTACTTAGTTCAATATTATTTTTATAAAGGAGAAGAAAATGTAATCTTTGAGTAATTGCCACCTTAATTTTGTTATTGTTGATGATAGCATGGGCGTAACTAGGCATACGCACGGATGCACTGTGCGTACAATTTTTTGGCCAACCATGATATTATTTTATATAAATTTAGTGTATTTTTCACGGAATATAAAAGAAAATCCTCTGCATATTAAAGTCACCTGTATGTACAAATCCTCTATATCAATTGTAAAGGCACAATTCAATTGTTCTGCCCCCCCCCCCCCCCCCCAATAAAGAAATACAAGTGCGTACAATTTTTAAAGGTCTGGTTACGCCCCTGGATAGTTTGACCAAATCGCATGTTGCATGATGGTGATGTCCTGGTGGAATATCCTTTGTTCCGAAATAACTTTCTTGCCGGATATTTCTAACAATACTAGCACTGAGTCACAGAAATAACACGCGATTATTGATTCATCAAGCAAAATCTAGTCAGCTCTTTTTGCTTTTTTACATGAACGGAAACATTACGGGCAAATATTATGTATCTAGGAATGTTAGTGTTTTGCCCCCTAAAACCAGGTTAAGATAATATTTAATCAAGCTAAAAAACAGGTTTGAAGTTCAGAACTATGAACTGGAAGTCAGCCCACTGTTTTTGATGCATGCAGCATTCTGCTAAATCTAAAATAACACGTGCAATGACAGTGGTAATATATTGATTTCAGTAGAACACGACTTGTCATTTGATAAAATAGAGTCTTTTTACTTTCAGGAAATTCGTGGAAAATGCCAGCAGAGCTACGCCCCAAGTTCCAGTTGTGTGACCAATGCCCAAAAGTCCGCCAAATGTCCAGTTGTCACCGTGTTAATCGCAATTCGCTGAATGAAAAGCTTTAAGTCCGATTTTACAATTATTAAAAATTGATTCTCTAAATTTTGCAATGTATACACACACAATGAACAATAGAAGTGCCACCCCTACTGAACCAATACTTTGGGGGAGATAAATGACTGTGGAATGATATGCTCCTGGTATCATTTTATTAACATCAAATTTCACAAAAAAAAAAAAAATATATATATATATATATATATATATATATATATATATATATATATATACCAGGCATTATAACTACTCAAGATCTGCCTACTTTGATTATTGATTACTTGATTATTATTTGATTACTCTGATTCAGGGGATGACACTTCTATTGTCTAATGTGTGTATATTAATAACGTTCACTAAATCACCTCTGTAAGAAAAGTGACATTATGAGTTGACAAACCCCGCACTCACGTGTCGAATCACGGTTAAAACCAAACTGGTCATGTGGTGACATACACACGATACATTTATGTAAAACCGGCGTGTTTAAAGCAATAATAACTCTTCGTTTCGGCCAAAAAATGAATTTTCCTGGAGTAAACAACAATTTTCCCATACTAACCAATGGTTAATGAATCCATTTTTACATTCAAAGTAAGTCCCTGGTTTTTTTCTAAAATGTCTGGTTTTTTGTTAAAATCTCTTAAGAGATTTTAACAGAGTATAGCCATCAATGGAGGTCACGTGGTCTAAAGACAAGTTCAAATATCAGAATAAAAGCTATAACTGCTGTTTTTGTGGTAAAACAGAATATATTATATTTCTATGAGTTATTCACAAGGTTTTTATTGTGAAATATAGGTCTCATACGAAGAGTTATTATCCCTTTAAGTGTAAACAGTCCAGTCAGTGCCCTTGCTAGGTCACCTCCTCGTCCTTCTTGACCTGCAAACATACCATCATTCCCAGAAAACATTCGAGGGAAGTAAGTGGAAATTAACCGACATGATCCCACTATATTGGAAGCAGTTAAGGTCGTTGCAATCGCTCCTTAATGCCCTACGTTGTGATACTCGAAACTTGAGACTTTTAAGTAGCATCTAGGTCTGTTGTATCTGAAGCCGTTTTAAGACTATCTTTGGGAATTCGACCGTTTGATTGCAATTCAGCTCATGGGTCATGTTGGGGACGCTTGCTCGCCCTTCGTTAAATTCTGGGAGTACGACGGATGGGTGCAGTGAAACAGTATTTCCTATACCTGGTCTAGCATATAAAAAACGGCGTTTGATGTCGTCCAAGGGTAAATTTTTCGGATTCATTTGACTGAAGAAACACCAAAAAAATAATGACGTTGATACACGAAGAAATAGACCTATTTCAAGACGGGCCACATTTTCAACAAAAACACTTTATATAAGCGTATAGTGGCGCTTATTATATTCTAGTCTTGTGATAAGATAAAAGTGCCATTTTAAATACATATTCAATTTAGTAGTTTCTTTAACTGTAAGATCTAATGCATTACATTACATTACATCGATTTTTAAAAACCATCAACGATATGATATATTTTGAAATATAAAATAAAAATATTCTATGTAACAAGTCGTGGAATACGGCGAAGTGTTATTTTGGTTTATTGTTTATATTTGTCTTACAGTTTTCAAAAGTATCAATAGGGTGTAATATGAAAAGTCATTTCCAGTTAGAAATACAGCAAAGACTGCAATGAAGGAATGGACCGATATTACGGCAAACATATCAATTCCAGTTTTGGCAGTCAGTTTAACCCGGTGTCCTTTCTGCGTACTTTATGAGACCATAAAACATGCATCGCTGGGGTCGTAGAAAGGAGGCACAAGCACTGCTTTGGTTGTAGAATGAATGCTCACCATACTGATCAGCCAGTTGTCAGCACGTTAAGTTTTTTTTTTTTACTCTCAAACGGGGTCGTACTATGGGACGCAGAAAGGACGTCGTCCAGTGTAAAGGGGGCTTAGACCCCATTCCCATTTTAGATTTTAGATCGATCTATCCCTGTGGGGTGTCTCACTAGATCACTGTCAGCTAAGCCGGCTTAAGCATCTGTCCCGCCTACTAAAAACTGTAAGGGGGTAATTTACTATGGTGCGCGCTCGGCTGACTGCAATTTAGCGTGAACCCCCTGGGAGTTAGGTCGATCTAAATCTAAATCTCTGGATCGATCTAAATCTCTGGGAATGCACTCTTAAACCACACACGTTCGCGCCCATCAAACCCGATGAGTCCATGCCAGAGATTTCGATGAATCAGCAGCTGAAAATCGACCATGATAAGCCAAGTTAATCTTATCTATTACTGATGACATTATTTGATATATGATCAGTTTAAAATGCCCTACCAGCCACAGGGGTCTGCGTTCTTTAGGCTTATGCCCAATCAACGTTCGTTGACTAGGGGAGCGCGTGGGAGTAAATACAGGACTAGATGACCAGCTAATATCACGATAAAATTTTTCAATAATCAGAGTATCACGACTTGTTTTATAACTTGTTTTATAACGAATATAGACGTTCATATAGCTGCATTATGGCCGTTTTTTTCACTTCTTTAATGTTGGCGTTTTAATTGTTTATAAGAAAGCTTAGAAATGGGCGAGGGAGTATGTGGTATTTGGGTGCGACTAAATATTAACTGATAACTCTTGTAGTCCAATCCTTGTCCATATTGTTGGTCTGCTGGTAGTGAATGAATGATTAATCACGGAAGCGAATCAAATGAAAAGGGGTCACATCAAAAGTTCGGGAATTTTTACCGCAGACAATTTTAGTCTGTCCTTTGCGGGAAATTTACAGAAACAGGCAACCAGTATATTTTCGGATCTCATTGAGTAGCAGGTTTGGCTTTTAGAAGTGGCAACATGAAAGATGTTTGATAACATTGTCAAGAGAAAGGCACAAATTATGTCCTATTAAACAGTTATGCTAAAATATTTCTTCGAGTCTTCATAACACGAAACAACCAACGACTTCCAACTACGTTGCCAAGTTGCTATGATTTGTTGTGCATCGTCTCTATAATGCCATTGTTCCATTCCCCGTGTATAGATATGACCATACGCGTATGCAGGTATGGTGGCCACTTTTCTTGTCTTACCTTACACTGTGGCATACAAATCCCACTGACAGGCAGGGAAATTAAACACACCACTCAATGGCTGGATAATAGGGGGCCTACGTTGCCTTTCTAGCAGAGAAATAACTTTACCTTTCTCAGGTGAGCATGTCGGATCTCCTTTTTATAGAGAAAACATCCGATCACTCCCCAATTATCTACAAGCGCTGCTCAACGGTTATTTGCAATTTCAGGTTTAAACAAGGACATGTATTTTAATAATTATCAAATTAAATCAAATTAAATAAAATTATCAGGACCTGTCACAAATTTCAAAAGAAAAGCGGTAAAAAAAAGAAGGAAAACACCTCCATTGACAATGGAGGTTTGACCCTGTAAGGGTCGTGATAAGCACATGTAGTCTATAACAAGTAGAATTGAAATGTGTGCGAATTAGCAGCTGGGTTGTGCGTACAAACAATGCTTATAACTACGTTGCGTGGCGCGAAAAAATATTTGCAGTTGATTCCTATCATGATAAAGAAGAACACAGAGAGGGGGAATACGCGTAACATGCAATATTTTGCTACTATGATCGGTACCCATTGACTGGGCAAAGTTAATAGGTAAATTTGACAAATCCCACGCGTGTTGTCAAGTGTTGCCAGGTGTGACAGCTCAACTCAAATTAATGTGCTGATGTGCTCGCGTTAGATCCTATCTAAAAACTGTCCCTCCTGCGCCTGCCTTGACAACATAGAAAATGCATATGGTACGTAAAAACCTCGTACAACCCGTGATTAACCACGTTTTTGCCTTTGTTTCTCCAACGCTAGGCGACGTTACACGGGGGCGGAGTCTAGCGATGGCCACATCTAGACCAGTCAACACGCATGTACACGTCCAACTCCAAAATACAGCCTCGCAACTTTCTTACCTCTGCATGTAATATAAGCGTGTGTATTGATTCTAAAATCAGTGAATGTTCTCCTTTCCTACGATTTTGTTTTGTCCCGGGCATCAAATATAAAATAAGAATTCTTAGCCATAAAAGAGATAAATACTCTCTCGTGACCGACGAAGAACGGGAATGATCCCGGTCACCAGAAACCTGCACTATGAGTGCATTCAATTTGTACACCCAACCGTAATGTTGTTATTGAGAACAAGGTGATATACAAAAAGCAATTAAAAGTGGGCAATTGAAGTGAGTTCTTGTAAGCACGGAAGCAATGGGCATTTTATTCAGGTGCATTTTAACAGAGTTGGATTCTGCTACAACACACACACACACAAACACACGCACACACACACACACAACAGAAGTTTTTTTTTTAATTAAATAAATACATACCTGAAGAAGAGAGAGATAGAAAAAGAAAGAGAGAAAGATTACCGATCGACAATACTGGCCCCGTTCCGCAGCCTTTAGATGAAGCTGAAACAAACGATAAAAATATGCTCTAGAACAAGTCGTTTTAAGTACTATGTACATTCCGTTATTAAAGACCTTTTGAATTAAGATTGTACCCAGTAATACCGTGGCCCAAATGTAGGTTTCACAACTTCAGACTATGCATCTGGCGTGTTCAGTCCATGTATTGACGATGACGACGAGTTCAGTTTACGGTTTTATTCAGTTTTTGGCTAACTCTTGAAGAAAAAAAAAAAAGAAAA